AGTGGTAATCCAACAAGAATATTAGATCATTTGACCATGTCCCATGGATCTTCCGTTCTTTCTGAAGAGTTGTGTTTGCTCTAGATAGAATTTCTCAGAGCTCGGGTGGGGATGTTCTTGGCTTTTCTGCAGATCCTTGACCTTTTCCCGTACTGTCATACGGGTCCCATGAAGAGCAATTTCTAAGTCAGGTTATTGACACTCTGGGGCTAAACTTTCTTCTTGGTCATTCTTGTGAACGTCTATTTCTTGGCCAGGACCTTCTGCCTTCCATTTGTTTCGAGAGCCTTTCCCCTCACTGCAGCATTTGCGTAACACATCCTTTCAGGTTTTGTCAAATGAGTCCAAGCATCAGCGTCAGCCCCAGCGTGGCTTACCTCTCCCTAGGCATCAGAAATGTTTCTAACCATGAGCATGTACTCAGCAATTCTGGATTACAATCTGGCCATCCTGAATATGATGAGACGCTGAGCCATGGCGCACTCCAGATAAATAAATAAAATGGAATTTAAAAAAAAAAAAAGACTTCTCCGCAGTCTCCCTGGTGTTTTCCAGTTTTCGGGGCTCTCTTTTCTGTTCCCTAGAAACCGAGCTGGGCTTTGTTCAAGTTCTGCTGGAGACTCCTCATGCCTGCGCTCAGATCCAGGCCGCGCAGCAGAAAGACAATAGGAAGGAAAAACAAGGGCTTTCGCCTACCCTCGTACCTGTTGCCACCAGAAAGGGGCAGCTGCTTCTCGAGATGCAAACTCCTGGTACCACCACACCCCAGCATCAACACAGCATTTGGGGGGACAGTGTAATGACAGGGCCTTGGCGATCCCCCTCTTCTTCTGGCTGTCAATGGGTTCCCTTCTCCCCAGTGCAGGAACTATAGCAAGCCTAGCCTGAGATGAAAATAATCTATACCAGCTCATCATCGTGATGTTTCCCCTATCTCCTGACCTCTGATATCACAGCTCCCCCCCACTAAGCTTCTGTCCACATCTGCAGGGTTTCAGAAAGGTTTTGAATAGGAGGGACCAGGCACAGTGTGCCATGCCACCCACCTTGATCTGGAGCCCACTTCCTTTCGTCCCATACGTATTTCAACTTTATGTCTCAAAAACTCACTCTGGCTGCCTCTGAAGCTTGTGCATTGTGGGTGCACATGGCTGTGGCCTGATCCAGCCTCGGGAGAGTCTCTTCCAAGCTACCTCTTGCTGCCAAGGGAACACTCCCTGGGCAGGACCCTGTGTACGGCACCTGTGCCTCTGCCCTCCTAATAGCTTGGTCCAGGATGAACTCAAGGCTCAACACTGAAAGATGGAGTCTGCTATGGAAGTCAGAGCTGTGTGGGTGAAGACCCCGCCCCTGCCCTTGGACATATAAGCCAGGCCCCAGGGGAAGGGTAGGGCCTGAGCCAGGCCTTGAAGGCCAGCCCTGTGATTTTCCGGTACTCAAGTGGTGCAAGACAGAGACCTGGGATGTCAAAGCAGCACCTGCAATGGTTGGTAGAAAGGGAGGGGCTCGAGGAGTAAGGTGGGCAGAGCCAGGCCACTGCCTCCTCACACCACCTCCCCCGTGTGGGGTCTGAGTGCAGAGTGGAGCTGGCTTTTCCTTTTAAGGCTGTACTTCCCACTCCCTTAGCATATGTGTGAAACTCCCCGTGCCTACAACACAGCGCCACTTTGGAAAGCCACATCCTTCCCCACTTCTGATGACCTCAAGTCCAGGTGGTATTAAATAAATAACTCGTTTCCGCCTAGGTGGCTTCATTATATGCACAAGCCACCAGAGGCACGTCCTTCAGAGAGGGAATCTGAGGTGCAGGGCAGCCTCTGGTGGAGCTTTGAGCCCCACTGCATCAGCCTGACAAAGTCCTGGGGCAGAGGAGCATGCTGGGGAGAGGAAGCCTTCAGAAGAGCCATGAGAGCCAGGCGGGCGAGCTTGAAGAACACCGTACTCTAACATGCAGGGACTGCTTCCCATAGCACTGAGGTTGCTGGCTTGCTTACTGTGCAGAGAGCCACACAGGGGAAGGTTGGATTTCACTGGGTCACCCAGCATGACTCGGCCAGCCACCAAGGAATTATGTGGCCACATCAACCTTCAGAAACAGTGTTTTCCACATTTCCCATTGAGCTCATGTGAGCAGATCCGCATACATTTGAAAACCAGTTCTTAACGCAAAAGTGCCAGCCCCTTCCTTGCGTGTAGATGCGAGCAAATCTCCACTGTGCATGCCCTGGTCTGGTTAAAGGCCTGTCTCTGAGAGTGGCTTCCACTAATGAGTGCAATTTGCTCCTTACAGAGTGAAGAAGCATTTTCAGATACATTTGAAAAAGGATGTGCTTGATTATGAAACGCCACTTTCTTTGAGCCAGACTGCCTAGTGCAGCGGTTCTCAACCTATGGGTCACAACCCCTTTGGGGTAAAACGACCCTTTCGTGGGGGTTGCATATTTGCATCGCAATTCATTACAGTAACAAAATTACAGTCATGAAGTAGCAATGAAGATAATTTTATGGGTGGGGGTTAGCACACCACGAGGTATTAAAAGGTTACAGCATTAGGAAGGTTGAGAACCACCTGGCTCTGTGTTGCCTTGTGTGAACTGTGGACTGGTTAAGAACTAGTTACCAGGCTGGAGGCTGTAACTGCATTGGTAGAGTGAGTGCCTGGTTCAGTCTCCAGTATAAAATGGGACGCAGTGATGGGCTTGTCGTAATTCTGTACTTAGAAGAGAGAAGCGTCAGGGTTAGGAATTCAAGGCCACCTAACAAGTTGAAGGCCAGTCTAGGATAGATGATTAAAAACAGAAAGTTTCCTATGATAAACTGACAGCAAAGCTGAACTTGGGGCTCTCAAGGTGACTCAGTGGTTAACAGCACTCCCTGCTCTTTAGGGGACACAGTTTCAGTTCCCAGCACTCAGCCTGCAGCTTTAGTTCTGGAGCATTCAATGCCCTTTTCTGGTTTCCATGAGCACCAGCCATGCATGTGGTACACGTACATGCATGCAAATAAACTTACATATAAAATAAAAGCAAGTGTTAAGAAACCGAACATGTTTGACAGACTATCCTGGTATCTGAACACATAGACTTTTTATTCCAGACGCTTTTCCACCTGGGAAGAAAAATGCTTGGTGACCTGACAGTCTGTGGCCGGAGACCCGGTGGCGAGAGCCACCACTGCGTAGATGCCAGTGTCTCTCCCAGTCATACCTGATCCAGTTAGGCTATCCCTTGGTTTAATCCCAGCAGGTTATTAAAGCGCCAGGCTGTTCTGGAAACATCAGTCACAGCCCTCTCTCTGGGCCACAGCACAGGCGACAGCCCACCAGGTCTGCACCCTCTGAGGAAGGCCGGGCAGCTCCTGCTTCCTGCAGCATGGGGCTGCTTCCTTTGCTCCCTTCCCGGGCAGCTCCTTGAAGCCTTTCTCAGGGTGCCTCAACCTGTATTCCTTCTCCTCCTCTACCTCCTTCTTTTCCTTTTCTCAGACAACAGTAACAATAAGTGCGATTAGCAAGGTGATTCCGAGCCCCTTTCAGAGGGCAAGACAGTAAACAGAGCTTGTTTGCCTAAAGGAAACCCTCCCAGCACCCAGCCACTCAAACCGCATGTGTTAATGAACCCAGAGCCGTTAATGCGGTTTCTTCAGTTAAATTGATTCATGAATTTTGAAGAGAACATTATCTAATGAATTTTCTTTGAATAGAAAGCAATTAAAAGGACAAATCAGTCTGATTAACCCCAAAGTCACCCTCCTGCCACAAATGCTGTACAGTTTGAAATTATATCATAAAAAAACTAGAGCACATTTGCTGTGTCTGTGCCCTCTGCTAATCCATGTAAATTAATGAACAACAAAGTTAATTTCTTTGATGACCCTTTTCTAGTATCACCTGGATTATGCTGATGTTTAATTTGCTTAATGTTATAATAAAGACTAAACAGGGTTTTTTTTTTTCCTCCAGTCAAGTGATTATCATTCCCTTCAGTTAAGAAGTGATTTTTATTATTTAACATGCATGTAAGGGTGTGTTTCCTTTAAGGACCGAATCACACTCCCACCAGCTTGGCACCACATGTGGCCAGCACTGTGGAGGACACAGTCCCTGATGTCGTCTCTGCCCCTGGAGCCCTCCTCTCTGTTGTTCCCATCAGAAACTCCTGCCCCAAGTCTTGGAGCCCCAGGGATGGTGGTTGTGGCTTGGCCTCCCTGCTCCCCAGCCTGTGTGTCCCCTCAGGAAGACAATAGGAATCCATTGACACCGGACTCCTCCTTCTGCCTGGGCTTCTCCCCTCCTCAAGGTACATTGCAAGGAATGATTCCAGAACCCAGAGGCATCAAGGAGATGGCCATGCCTCACCCCAGCCATTTCTGCTGCAGACACAAAATGCATGGCGCTTGATGTGGCTGGTCAGAGGAATCAGGGAGAGATGCTTTATTTTTGCAGCGCTGCTCAGTCAAGATGCCTGCAGCTGCCTGCAGCCAGGGTCATCCCAACCTGAGCATACTGGCATTCAGAGCAGCCCAGGGGATAGTCCTGCCCACTGCTGGGTGTAGACAGTTAGAAAAGGGTCCCATCCCATCCCTGGAGTCTTCCTCCTCCTGCATCTCACCTGAAGTTGGAAACGAACCAGCAGCCCAAAGGGCTTCCACGTAGGTGGGCCAGCAGGGGCTCCCATGCTTGCTAATTGAACTGTGTGCAAATGTGTGCCTGCCCGCTCACAGAAAGAGCATCACACACAGCTCCACATGGACCGTGAGGAAGACGGAAAGAAATTAAAGATGTGGGAAGCCTTCCGAGGCCCACCTGCTTTGTGCCTGGCTCCCTCTCAGTTCTCCTGGCCTATGCTGCCGTGACAGGGTGCTGTGTGGAGGCCTGTGTTTTAATTGAGTATAACACCTCTATTTGTGTCATTGCATTTTCTGCTGGGGAACTGGCAGCTATTTATATCTGAGCCGCTGGAGTCGTTGGTCGAAATCGCGTCATTCTGTTTTCTTTCTTTCAGATTCATTCACGAGACAGGTGTTATGGAAGCTGCTGAAGGTTGTGAAATTCGGAGAAATGGTTTCTTACCAGCAATTAGCAGCCCTGGCAGGCAACCCCAAAGCGGCTCGCGCAGTAGGAGGAGCAATGAGGAGCAATCCAGTAAGTTCCGCAGATGGCCAGCAGGCTGGATACCTGCCATTGCTGGGTTCTGAACCACTCTGGGAGCCAAGTGTCATTTGAATAAATGTATTTCAGAGGCTGTGTGGCCGGGTAGGGAGGCACCTCCTGGGAGAGGGACCCAACCTCGTGTCTCAGCCACATGAGCCCTTTGTCATAGCAGCCGCTTACCAGAGAGGAGCAAAGCTGGAGAGTGGCGAGCAGACAAGAGGGCAGCCTGTCCATTCATTCGCTACCCACTGGCTAGTCCCCACACTGGGTGCCTGGTGAGTGGCAGCATTCTTTCATCCACTGGAAATGCAGCCGTATGTCCAGAAGACAAGAGGCCTGCCTGTGTGGCACCAGCCTTCGGAGAAGGTTTTGGTGAAAGAGCACAACGCCATCTCCCTGGGTCTCTGGGGTATGAAGAGGCTAGAAGATGTGACACCTAGCATCATAGATGTCTACTGTCCTTGGGTGTCAGCCCCGCAGGGAATGGCTCTTCCCCCAGAATGCATTAGCATGTACTTATGTTCCTTCCTGCAAATCTGTCAGAGTTTATTGAGCTCCAAGTTCCCAACCCGTGAGAAGGTTATGCTTTTAGAGACAGCCTGTAGTCCCACATTGCAGTGGGTATTTTGGCTCCCCTAGAATAGCTCAAGTCCAGACCAAGGCCCTGCAGGCTTGTGGGCTTTGGATGGGCAAGAAGGCACTACCTCCAGGATCCTTAAATGTCCCAAGCAGCTTCCCTGTGCCTGTGCCAGTGCCAGTATAGGTGTGCTGTCATGTTGATAGAGCTGTGCGGGCCTCTAGCATGACAGAAAACGGCCACCTGTTCAGAAGTGTACCCTGTCTGGAAGGGACATCGATGAATCAGACAGTCTGAGCCTCCTTTGGTGGGTAGTGGTTGTTGTTTGAGAAGGAGTTTCTCTGTGTAGCATTGGAAGTCCTGGAACTCACTATGTAGACCAAGCAGTTCTCGAACCCACAGAGATCCTCTTGCCTCTACCTCCTAATTGTTAAGATTAAAGGGGTGTGTATCACGCCTGGCTTTGGGGATGACTTTTGAGGTCTCCCAGCAAAAGTTTTCCCCTGCTTTTTGGTAGACCACCATTTCTGGGTCACAGCTAGATTTTGACACATTAGATTTCTTTTTCCTTTCTCTTTTTCTTTTTCTTTCTTTCTTTTTTTTTTTTTTAAATTGGACAGGGTTTCTCTATGTAGCCCTAGGGTTGTTTGACCTGGAACTCTCTCTGTAGACCAGGCTGGAAGTCCTAGAGGTACCTGTCTTTGCCTCCTGAGTTCTGGGACTAAAGCCATTCATCACCATGCTTGACCATGAGGCATTAGGTTTTGTTATAGACAAAGAAACAGCTCCAATACATTTTTGTTCTGTGACTCCGCTTAATGCCCCCGGAGAACAGAGGAGGCCAACGCTTTCTACCCTTCTCCTGCTGTGCCCTTGCAGTTGGTGAACACACACCAACCGTCCTGGCCTCTGAATGGAGTAGGCCTCTCTGCACCCCACTCCCAGGTCTGAGTCGCTCCTGAGCTGAGGAGGAGGTGTCGCCATTGCCCAGGTGACTCCTGCCGCAGGACGGATGGTTTGGTACTTAGCCACACTCGAGTTGGGAACCGAGTTGTTTTGCTTTCCAAGTTTCCTGTGTGTACTCACGTGAAGATGAAGATGGTCCCATCCGTGGGCGCCAGCACCACAGCTTCTGCTCTGAGGGCAGCTAACATCTGTGCTTTAAGAACAAGTCCCGCTGCCCAGGGTACCCATTGGGACACATGCTGTACCCACTTTGGTGATGAGTCTCCATCAAGCACCCCTGGAAACGAGTATGAGAAGGGGATGCTGAGACTTGAGGGACAAAAGGTCTGGACAGTGGTAGGTTCTGCCTGCTGCCTGTGTTGGTAGGTGTCCTCAGCACCACTGAGGACAGAGCCCAAGGTGGAGGTTCTGCCTGCTGCCCATGTTGGTAGGTGCCTTCAGCACCACTGAAGACAGGGCCCAAGGTGGGGTAGCTGTATATGTCCCCCTTACCCCAAAGCCGCCACTTTGGCATTAAGTTCATAGTGAACGAAGTTCTCACGTTTTGGCTAAGCAGTGCTATTTGCAAATGCGAGAGGAAGGGTAGGCACTGGAGGCCTCACCTCACATCATTGGTTTGGTGGCTGGCAGGAACCTCATGCCATCTGGCCTCACAACTGGCCATTGCTGGGTTAGCCACCTCAAGAACAGGAGATGGGTTTTGCAGGGTGGGAGTTTCCTCCATCCTGGAACTCAGCTTCTCCTAAGTTTCCCAAGTGAGACTCACTGGCCCTGCCAGGAGACTGGGCAACCTCTGGAAGGTGCCACACCACCCTGAATAAGGGATGCCCAGGCCCAATGACTTTTCATGCACACACACGCATGTGGGCACGCACACACACACACATTCACTAGCTCACTCACAGAACCCCCTTCTGCCACATCCTCAGACACAATTTGCTAAATGTAGTTCAGAGGCGATCAATACAAGCTGAGGGAGTTTCCCACCTTTTTCTAAACAAACACATTCCTGAGGAGTTAGTTTATTCGCAGATTGCCGTGAGCACCGATGACCCTCGAGTCCTGTTCTGCCATTCACCCAGATAGCTGTTGATAAAGATTTAGCATCATGTTCTGAGTGTCAGGGTTGTCAGTGGAGCTGAACCATTTGACCAGAAGAAAAAAACGCACCGGGAGCTATTGATTACAACTTCTCGGTGTCACTCGTTCACCAGGATTTAGGTATTGATGAGGCTGCGAGTGAAAACAAGCTTTCTCCCTTGTGGCCTCTGCCCAGAAGAACAAAGGCAAAGTTGGAAGAAATATTCAGCCAGTTCCAGAATCAGAGGGATTCCATTATCGATCGCAAGGCCCCTTCATGTTATTTTTGTTGGAGACAAATCTATGGGTTTGGAAGTTTTATAGCAGTTGAGAAAGGGCTTGCGCGAGTGATGGATCCGGGTATTGGACAAATTAGATTTCACAGCATGAAGATTTCAATGAAGCTGTAATACCATGGGCTCCTCGAGTATCGCTAGCAATCGCATTGCCTGCAGCAGGGGCTGTCAAGAAGAGGGCAGCAATGGTATGGGTCCTTCAGATATGGCCATGAATGGAGCCCCAGTAAATCTTACTAGAGCCCCAGTAAGGAGCTGTTGGTAGCCTGACGTGAAGCAGGATCCATCTCTGAAGGTGAGCTCTGTGAGTGTGTCGCCCGTCCGCCTGCATTCTGTGCCAGCAGTCCCTCGATCCACAGAAGGAAGCAGAGAGGGGTATACTTGGTGCTCACTCTGTAATCCCATAATCCCTTGAGAGGGAAGAAAAACGTCAAAGCTGAGAGGTCAGATCTGCTATCCAGTAGAATGGTGGAATATGCCTCTCAGTGGCGGCAAGACCAGATTGAGTGGCATGCCTGTCTCAACCAAAGCTGTGGGTTGGGTGTCACCTCACAGTCTTCTGACTCTGTGTCGCTATTGTAGTTCATTTTTCTCATATAAATCAGTCATGGTAACGTTCCATTCTCAACACCTGTCATGGCTCCTTTCAAGGTCAAGGTCACATACTGTCATCCACATACACCTGGCATGCCATTGCTTACCCCATGCTGCTGCTGGCTGCATGGTCAACTCTCGTCTTCCCGATCGTCATGCCAGTGGTCCTTGAAACTGCTCATAGACCACATCTGTCCACGTCATCCCGGTAGCCATAGGAGTCAAAGCAAGAGAAGGTCTATGAGGTGTGGGAAATCGTGTCCCCGTCTCCCATGCTTTGTTGTAAAACGGCAATGGTCCCACGTCCACAGAGTCCATCACCATGTCAGTCACTCCTCAAGAGAGGCAGTGTGTGCACAGGGCCATCAGGAAGACAGGCAGAGCCAGACTCCTGCCGGTTAGAACCTCCGCTTTGCCTCATTAGCCAGTGAACTTAACCCTTGACCTGGGGTATTGGAGGGCTACATAGGAAAGCCTCACATGAGGCATGAAAAACGCCATGTCAGAGGTGAGGGCTAGAATGTCCCCACCTGCTGGATCCTGTGTGCTATACCCCAACAAAGAGCACACTCAACTCAGCAGGTGAATTGTATGGTCAGGAGCATGGGGGTGACCAGAGGGATGCCCGTATGGAGGCCTTGAGGACTGAGGAAGCACACCAGGCTGCTCAGGTTCTGAGATACAGAGCTCAGTAATTTCATGTGCCTGTGCTGGGCAGCTTCCTCTAGATTGTCATCTGACCAGAAGCTGGCCACAGTGTCCCATTTGCTTAGCATGGTAGATAGAAAAGGCAAGGGTGCGACAGGGATAGATATTAATAAGCCACAGGGAAAGGAGGGAAGAAGAGCAATGGAATGTGGGTGGTACCCAGCAGCACCTCTGCAATCATCCCGCTGGAGCCCTGCAGGAGTGGCTAGATCTCACCATGGCAGAACCCCAGAGCAAACCCTGTACGTGTACCTGAGATGACTTCTGACTTGCACACCTGCTCTCTATATTTTCCTGTGTCAGGGCAACTCAGAACCTTCCAGAATGAACCCTAAACCTCCAGAACTCCTGAAGCAGATGCTCGTAACTCAGGTTGTGGTCTGTAACAGTGGCCATCTAGACATCACTGGGCTCATGAGATTACAGACCCCTGTTTTTGAGCTTGTCAGAGTCAGTAGGAAGAAACACCATGCTTGATAACTCACTGGAATCATTCCCCAATTTTTGGTTGGTGTCACATTTTGCAATAGCAGGTGACTGGGCAAATGGTTCAGAACATACAGACCATACACCACAGCCAAAGCACACACATGTCTGGCCATCATCATCCTTAGCACCTTCTGGTGCTCCTCCTTACGTGATGTGGGAGGTCCTTCTGTCTTGGTTAATGAATAAAGAACTGCCTTAGCCTGTTGATAGGGCAGAACTTAGGTAGGCCGGGGGGGGGTGGACTAAACTGAATGCTGGGAGAAAGAAGGGAGGAGTCAGAGAGAAGCCATGTAGTCCCGCTGGAGACAGACGCCAGAACTTTAGCCGGTAAGCCACAGCCAGGTGGTGATATACAGATTAATAGAAATGGGTCAAATTAATATGTAAGAGTTAGCTGATAAGATGCTAGAGCTAATAGGTCAAGCAGTGGTTTAATGAATACGGTTTCTGTGTGATTATTACGGGTTTCTGGGCAGCCAGGAAACAAACAAGCAGCTTCCTTTAACACTTATATGCGTTTTGCACTAAGAAGAGGCCTCCCTTAGAAGAAACCCATTGCTTTAGTGTAGAGGGCCACCAGTGCTTAGCTTTGCTCATACCATTAAGGACTGGAGAGCAGCCTGGGTACCTCAGACCATCTGAGTTGGGAGGCTGCAGAAACCGTGATAAGAACTTCCTAGTCTATAGGCCTTGTTGGGACTCTGGGTGTGATGCCCATGGCACTGTGTCTGTGGGAAGGTGTAGACACGGGTGCCACTGAGATTCCGTGTCTCCCAAAGAAAAGGGAAAGAAAAACTCCCAATACATAGGCACAGCCTAAGTTGGCTTAGCCAGCTTTTTTTTGTGCAGGGCCACTGGGGAATAGTCTGTGCATTCACAAAGCAGCCACAGATGGCAACCAAAGGCATGGCTGTGTTCAAATAAAACTTTATTTACAAAATCAGAAGGTAGGCAGCATCAGCTTCACAGCCATGGTTTGCCAACCCCTTGGGTGAACTGGACCTGCCACCACCCCTGAAGATTCTAGTTACAGATTGGTGATGTCAGAAAGTCTTGTGGAACTCAGAAATGCAGTTCTAACTTGAGTAGGGGACACATGTTCAATCACCCCTCAGGTGCAATCCGATGTCCTCCTAAACCTTGATACAAAGAGTTCCATATCCCTCATATACCTCGCAACAGATGTCCACCCCCCAAGGGAGACCCTTGGGGCCTCTGTAGGGTGCAAAGTAGGGGTACTGAAGGAATCATCATGATGGCCATGCCAGAAGCCTGCTAACTGGAGATCTGCCGGGCAGTGCCGGACAGGCAGGACCTTGTCAGTAGCATAGAAACCTCAGCCTAGAGCCAGACTGACAGTGACTTTCCTGTTTTTCAGGTCCCCATCCTCATCCCCTGCCACCGGGTGATCTGCAGTGATGGCACCCTTGGCAATTACTCTGGAGGAGGGCAGGCTGTGAAGGAGTGGCTTCTGGCCCACGAGGGCATCCCAACTCGGCAGCCAACCTGCAAGGCCTTGGGTCTGACTGGGACCTGGCTCAAGCCGTCCCGTGGCTCCACCAGCTCCAAGGCATCTGGCCAGAAATGAGTGGCTGTTTGAGTGACACATGGATGTAAGGCCTGTCGGAAGCGGATACGCGGTGGTGGTCCCTCTATATTAAAGGAGCTAGATGTGTCCTGGGGGACTGGAGTTGGCTGCCCTTTCTTGTTTCTACATTTTCCAGCAGAATGAGTTGAGACGACCCACCCTGGTGGATGTCATCAGCTCTCTTCTCTGACATGGCTACTGTTCCACTTTTAATGCCTATTAACGTGGGGATGAGAGTGGGAAAGGCCTTGTGAGACTTAGGGCCCCTTTGCACTAAGGGAGATGCGTCTGGCACCTGCAGACAACAGTTAGCCACCCCAGACTATCCATACCGCACGGCTGACCCCACCCTAGCGGGACCTCCCTCCCTCCAGTCATCCTTCAAGCCATTTATCCCAAGGAGATGGCAGGCCCCACTCAGCTCCCAACACCCCACCCTCGTTGGCCAGAGGAGGGACAGGCTAGGGGATAAATACCTTGTTGAGGGTCTGCGTTGTTTCTCCACCTGCCAGGAAAGTGTCCTGCATCCTCTGTGGCACTGTGGTCTACCATGATGAGATGGGGAGGGGCGTAGGTATCTTCCAGAAATGATTTGGACTACTGAACAGCACACAGGGCATGAATTTAGCTGGGCTGGTGCCCTCATAGGCATTCAAGTCACTTCCCGATCCCAGCTGTTTTGCTTTCCTCATCTTTAAATGCTCTGGATCGTATGTAGGTGGAAGGGACGTGGTCCTTCTTGGGAGCGTTAAGGATCCGGGACCTGTTAAGGTCCCAACTCCCCCACGTTGATCTGAGCATTCAAGGTCATCCACAGTAACAGTGGTCAGCCCATGCTGCTGCCAGCACTGGAGACTGTCCCCCAATCCACCACATGGCTCCTTCTGATGCTCCGCAGTTATATCCGCCTACCAGCTCTAAAGTGGACTGTTCCTAAAATGTGGGAGGGAAGTCTGGATAAAGAAACAGCCTGAGATTGGAGGAATGAACCGCCAGTCATAGGGCAGAAAGCTAGGTTCTATAGTGGCTTCACTGAGCACGGAAACCACCCATGTCATCCGAGATGGAGAGACAGCCCCCTAAGGAGCTTGCATTGATGAGCTCTGTACTGCGTGCCCCCTTAGCACCCACGTAAACAAACCGCAGGCCTGGTTTCTGACCGATCATGTCCTTGTACCAGCGGCACTAATTCTGATATTTTTGTGAAGAGGCATTACGAATGCCACACTTGGTGGGTTTGGTCATCACCTGTCATCACAAAGCAAAGCAGGTCATGTTCTTGTGGTGAGCCCTGTAACCTGTGCATTTTCAGGATAGGGCTGGGCATGCACACTGGCATCCTCCCATCTGGCTTCACCAGGGTACTTTCTGCTTGTTTCCCAGAAGGGTCATCTTTTTCCAACATGATCAGCAAGACATGTGGGTAGGACTGGAATACCTTGCGTCCGAATAATGTCACATTGATGTCTCTCCAACACCGAGAAGTCACTGTCTGGTGCCTTTGTCCTGAAGAGAACAGAATTCTTAAAGAGCTACTCTGGGCCCTGCAGCCTCCTGCGCCTTGTGTGTGCGTGTTCCAACAGAGGGCACCGTGGCTGCAGTGTGCTGGGGAGACCCCAGCCTCCTCCTGCTTAAGAAGGAGTTGAAAGGTGGGCATCAGGGTTGAATTCAGCTGGTTCTGAGCGGCTTCTCTCCACTGCCATGTGGGCCACTAGGCCAGTGCCTTGTATATAGGCCTTCTGTGCCTGGATGGCCTACATAATGGGAACTTTCATTGTGATCTCTACATTTCTAAACAGATCCAGGCTCTGAGAGGAGCCTGGGGCTGTACAGACATCCACGGCCGAACCCCCAGCATGGGACAGCCACACGCGGCCGGGACACCAACCCTATCAAAGCTGCAAGGGCAACCTGGCAGCTCCAGGTAGCCTGGAATGACGAGCAGGCGTGTTTGGACCTGCCCTTGGAGCAGGACGAAAGCCGTGTCTGCTCTCCTCTCCGAGGGTTTCCTCGGTGCTGTCATAACAGGTTCCTAGATGCCCCGAGGTAGCCGTTGACAGCAGCAGGACTCACCGCAGTGACCGTGTACTGCTCCAAGGATAAACTCTGCAGAGGCTGACATGAAACGCCGGCACGGTCGCCTGGAGCCGCTCTGGCTCAGGGTTGCAGCGCAGCTTGTGAAAATAAGAGGAAGAGGAAAGGCATAAAGAGTTACAAAAAAATATTTTCCAAATAAAAAGAAATGTTGGAACAAGAAAGCTGTGTTCTTTGGCCTTGGCCCCGGGTCCCCCTCACCTATTGAGTCTCCATGGCCTGAGCTCCCGCGCTTTGAATGCTGAGGCGGAGGCCCGCGCAGCATGTCAGCTGTCACTGCACCGAGGCGTCTGCCAGCTTCCCTGTCATCTTGCCACCTCCATAAACCATCGTGGCCAAAGACTCAGACCTCACTGACAGCAGAATAGATAGATGAAGAAGGCTGAAACTCGGAAGTGCATGTGTTTCCCCAGTAAAGGAGTTTTTTTTTTCCTTCTTCATTATGAAAGACATACACACCACCCACTTACCCATGTCCTGTGGCCCTATCAGGTGATGAAGAAACAAGAATGCAAGCCTAACTTGTTTTCTGCCCCAAATAAGAAATCTCCAACCTGGAGTAAGGGCAGTCCAGGGTTTGGAAGTCACGTTCCTGTAAGAGGCATTAAAGGATAAAGGGGTTGTTCTTTGAGATTCTAGAAGCAACAGGTGAAGGCAGTGAGTGCTTTGAAGGAAAGGACAGTCTTGCTCGGGAGGTAACTGGATGAGTTTCTGGAATGTTCTTCAGGGCTCTAGGAGGTCCATATTCCTCGATGTCTTCCAGTATACCTCTCATCCACAGGTCCCACTCCCTACTACTGCCCTGTTGCCCCAAGTCCCCTTTTCAGAAGGGACCTAGTGTCCCTAGCACTGATACAGTCATACTGAGCCCTCGGCCCTGTCAGGACAACTCCCCTGTGAGCACATGGAGGAGGAAGCCCACAGCAGGTGTTGTCAGCGGCAGGGGAGGGGTTGCGGACCATCTCCAGCTTCTCGGGGTCACTGAAAACTAGGTAAAATGCTGCATGTGTTCCACCTTGTGCCCAGGTCTAGTCCCCGAGAACAAAATGTCTCTGTGGATCTCAGTGTCAGCTCAGACCTCGACGCTATCAGTGATCAGGGGATGGCAGCTGAATCTGTGTGAAACCATTCCTTCCCTCGGGAGCATGCTGGAGAGCCCAGTGCTCCTTTGATTTCAGACATTGTATGGTAGACTCTGGAGTGACAGGCATGTTGGCTTTCTGTGCGAAAAAGCGAGCCAAGCTTTTACCCTGAAGATTTTCCTGGAAGTCCACTCAAGAAGCGAAAGCTCCTGCCGCTCCCTCCTGTTGGGAGAGGTCTCGGTCCCTGTGTGTCGGATTTACTCATGTCTCACAACTATATCACGGAGGGCAGATAGGGGCCCCTGGGTGGGAAGCTAAATTTCTTTGGTCTCCTCCAAGCCATCTCTGTATGCCCTTTGTTTTCATGAACGTTGTATCAACGTCTGTATTTAAGAGCCTAGAATTAGCAGAGTGCAGAAGGCCACACAGGATGTAGTTGCAGCTGTTGGAGAGGCAGAGGCAGGAGGATGGTAACTTGAAGGCCAGTCTGGGCTGCATAGACCTATGTCTTACCGTTTTTTTTTAAAAGCACTTGTGAGGCGGGAGCAGGAGGATAGAGGCCAGCCTGGTCTACTTAGCCAGTTTCAGGAGCAGGAGGATGGAGGCCAGTCTGGTCTACCTAACCAGTTTTAAGCTAGGGAAGACTGCATAGGGAGATACTGAAAAACAGCCACCAAAAAAAAAAAAAAAAAAAAAAAAACTCAAAGGAAAAAATTGAAGAATTAAGATCCTGGCAATTTCAGATAAAATTAAATGAGATTGTAAAATGGGGGGGACCTTTCAGGTCCCATTGTCTGTCGGTCTGTCCGTCTGAAACAAAGGGAAAGTGATAGCCAAAAGCCAGCAAGAGCCACTGAGAAACCGTAGGTTCTGACATGGCTTCAGGTGACCAAGCACGGGCATCCGGGGGCCTCAGAATGCCAGGACCCCATGGCTCCAGCTGCTGACAGATGAAAAACGCCTGGCCTCCATCACACGGGGCCTCTTCAACAAGAGTCTGCAGTGGGATTGGGGGCCAGAGTAGATGAGGAAGTAGGAAGTGGATGCTGGGCCGGGAGGTGCAAATTGACAGCAGGGCCCAGCCTGACAGCGCCTCTGATTGATGAGAGGACACTGTTAACAAGCCTTTAAAGTTTCTCATTAATGTTTTTTTTTCGCTGAAGAGAGCCACAAGAAAAAAATTCCACATGGACGGTAATTAAGATCGATCCTGTACAGTATGGTGCTGGCGCTGTTGGGAGCCTTTAAAAGAAGAAAGCAAACTCTCCTATTAAACACTCATTTTCAGGCTGCCAACTTCTGGGTTCTTGAAGCCCCATGCCATGTGCAGGAGGCACATTGGACTAGGGTGGTGGGCCTCACAGGGAACCTGTCTTCACTGACGACACCAAATGGAGCCTCCACCTTTCCATTGCCGTGAGCTCTGATTGAGTGGCCCAGGTGACAGCAGCTCTCGGCCAGTCCCACGGAGTGTCGAAGCTGGCCCAGCGTGACATGTGTGACCCTCCAAGAGATTCCAACTCTGGAGTGAGGTAGAGAGCAGAGGAAGGAGCCATTAGGTTAGGAATCATGTCTCTCCTTGTGCGCACAGGCAGCTACAACCCAGGTCTCCTTGCTATACAACAGGAGGTACATGTGCCTTCGGGTTCATTTGTTGACTGAAATGAGGAGGAACCCAGCTAGAGAGGAGACCAGTGTCCAAAGGCTCAGTGCTGTGGGATGCTGCAGAAGTGCTGCTTTTGTGTTTGGATTGTCATGGCTACAGTGTATGTGTAAGATTTTCAGACGCTATGGCAGGGGTGGGGGCCATGTGGGGTGACTCGGTGGTGTCTATCAGGAAGTCCACCTAGTAAAGTTGACCCAAGAATCTCCCTTTCTTGGGCCTCTGTAGGGAGTTGGGGTCTAGCCTGAGAGAATGAGAGTCCA